CTTATTATTTCTTAATTTATATTTTCTATTTCTTTTTTTCTTATTTTGTGTTATTATTCTTCTTATTTATTATTTATTTATTTATTATCTAATTATCTTATTAATATTCTTTTATATTATTCTTCTTCTTGTTTATATTTCTATTTTCTATTTCTTAATTTCTTATTATTACTTTTATTTATTTATTTATTTATTTGGTTGAATTGAAGAGAGAAATGATCTGTCAATTAATTAATATTCTAGTTATAATTATCTGAATTATAGAATGGTATTAATCTCCTACTTTCAATTCTTCATATTTAACTCTACTTACTTTATACTAATTTTCATTTTAGTCACTGTTGGTCGTTTGATCTTCATATTCAAAGTCAAAATATTTTCATTTCTCAGAAATGTCGATATATTAAAAAAAAATTGCACTTTGTCGAAAAAGCAAAACACAAACTCCAGAAATTTGAAGTGTATTATTAGACGCAGCTTTCGCTCATCGAACGACGAATGATCGATCGTAGGAGTTCCGAGAAATTAAAATAGGTACAATTATTCTGGATAACATTGCGTCCGATTGATCATATTTTTCGCGTCGTACGGCGAGTGATCGATGCTCGAAATTTCAGAAAAATTTTCTAGAAGATCGATGAAAAGGAATTTCAGGGAATTAAATGTTCGTGACGTTCGACGCGAGAAATTTGTCGAGAAATTTTCAGGTTTGGAGCGTGGCAAATCGCCATCGACGGAGAGAGTTCTCCCCTGCTTTTCGAATTCATCGGGCGTACAATGAGCGCAACACGCGCAACGGAACCTGTTACGAGAACACAATGGGCAAGTAAATTTTCTTTCGACAATGTAAAACAATAACCATTCTCTTTGGCTTTTTGTATCCAAGCGTTACATTCATTGGCCACGTTACTCGCGGATTGTTTGTTAAAAATTTGATTCTCGAAAATCGCGAAAACCGAATGTCTGTCTATCGGGCCGATTGCTTTATGCATCCAGCTGTCAAACGTTCTCCGCGCGTCGATTTTCTTCGAGTCTTCTCACGTGAGAAAGACCTAGTCACGTGTTTGGTCTTTTTGAACAATTTATTTTCACAAATTTAGATCATACTAAAAAATATACAAGATATCCCACGATTCGCAAATTTTATCAATCGAAAGATTAAGTGTCTGTTCAGAAATTGCCATGCAAAAATATATTTTAATTTTTAATTGCGATATATATTGCATAGAGATATCTTCTGATCATATAATTATTCAAACAACGAGTGTAAAATATTATTTCTTCCTGTAAAAAATGTCCAATGCTTTGTTAAAAAAACGTGTTTCCTTTACGTTTGTAAAGCTACTTTAGACATTTTCCTTTTTGTATTAAAATTTGCAGAGCGCGGAATAAAACGTAACTAAGAAGCAAGCTGATCGAAATATGAAAATCTTTGGAAATTTCGATCGATTACAGTATCTAGATGAGACGCAATTCGTGGCTTCATGTTTATTAATGCGTTAACGTACGTGCACGTGCACGAGCAACACACGCGGAAACGCAGAGGCGAGTTTATTCGTACGAGGTCAAGATCATTGTCGTTCGTTCGCGCGCAGTTTCAGCTTCGCGTGTCGCCACGAATTCTCCACACGTTTCGCTCGCAAAGAAAAGAGAGAAAAACGAGAAAATCGAACGTTGACTGCATCTCGCATTTTTGGGGTTTTCGAGCTATGGAGCAAAAATCTGTTCGAATGGACGAGTGGAACGAATAACCGAGGTAATTACAAACCTCGCTCGTTCTCTCGCCACCTGGCCCAAAATGAAAATCATACTTTGTAAAAATACCGCGTGGGTAGTTTTTAAATTCCATACGTAGATTTTACCGTTCTATGTGTATTCTATGCGCCGCGAAATTTAAGAAGAAAATATTTGATGAAGTAGGAACGTGAAAAGGACGTAAAGGGAACGTACAATGTGGAGATCTTTCTTTATTTTCCAACGAAACAATTAAATTTCTTTCTCCCTTTTTTTTATAGAGAGAAAATAATGACGAACGACGAGAATATTTTACAGTCGTTGTTTGAATAGTCATGATTTTTGTGCATCTCCATTTTCTCTCCGCAAGAGTGTTGCTGGAAAGAAAATATCTGGTGGAAAATACAGACGCAAAGAAGCAAGGTTAACCCGGAGGTTCTCCTGTATTTTCTAGCAAATAGTACCGGTTTCTTGTTACTCCCGGTAAAATGATAATAAACTTTGTTTTTTGCGAATATTTCATACAAGTGAACGAACTTCTCTTTTTGAACGACTGTAATTTTTGACATACACTCAACTTATTGTTAGTTACTTATTCTCAACTTGTTCTGAAACTGCTTCAACCAGCGTTATACTCTAAGATCCTTGAATCATCAACGTACCTTTCGTAACCTGAATTTGTCCATCACCACTTCTAATCTTTCTCCCATCAGTCAACAATCCATGAAGGAAAAATTCTTTAAATCGTCAAAAGTTCTCCAATCCTCGCTCCCGCGTGATTGAAGCTTCACACGGTCAGCTAACAATCATCAAGTTCTTCGCCGTGAATTCCCATAGTCTTCCGTATTTATAAACACACCGCAGATTTCGAAAACGTTTCGATCCACATCGTACATTCTAATTTCGTTCAAACGTTCCCCGAACTGTCGTTGCAGCTGGTCCCCAAAGCGGAGGTGGTACCAACGTTCCGAGAACATTCCTCTATCGAGAGTCTCTCGAAAAATCGGAAAGTTCCGTTCGTTTGACGCGCAAATAGCGAGCACGAAGCGCGCACAAAGGACGCCCTATTACGCAATCGAATAGCGACATTGGTGACAATCATCGAATTACCTGCGATGCGCGATCGTGTCCCCGTAGTTTCCTCGCGATTCTCGTTTCGAGCTGCCACACGTCTCGTGAACTCCATCCTCTCTCACGTCGTGATCTGATATCTGGAATCTTTAAATTCGCTTGCGAAAATTGCGCCGCGTTTCAGCCATTTGTTAACGCTCGGGCAGGCGGTGGCAGGTTACGTCTGAACGTGACGATAATAATAAATTTGCATAACGTGTGTGTTTCATTTCAGTTGCTAAATACATGCTAAGAAAGTTAGAATACGAGGAGAATAGAAAAATTATTAAAATTATCATGTAAACCGAAACAGACGATTGTTGTTCATAACTTTGAAAACTATTGACCTGTTGCGCTGGAATGACGTGCCAAGCAGAATATTTGGCCCAAAGTTGCAATATTTTCTCAGTTTTAAGTATATTGAAATATACAACTCGAAACAAATAATAAATTTATTAACTTCTTCGTAATTTTTATCGAACGATGTACCGACGAATTCAAAAAGGAGACGAGTTATTGTGTGACGGCTTGGTCACTCGTTATGGTCCGTGGATCAGTTACTAGCGCAAGAGGTTAATTTTTCGACTCGTGTTTATTAGGACTTTTTTTTTCAGCGAGTATTATCTATCCTAGAAGTTACGAATCCTTTTTTTATATTCATCCTGTGTATTACGATAATTTGAAGAGCTAGGTGAAAAATTCGTTCGTTATTTCCAATTATGAAACGAGTGATATATCTTTGTAATTTGCAACTATGTTACTCCTCTGGTAAATAAATAATCTCAAACGAAAAAGTGTGCATGACCGAGTCACCGCGCTCGCAAGTATGAAACAAAAGCGGTAAAAGTATTAACCGACGTGGACAAAATCTTCTCTTCGAATCCAAATCAATTGACGGACATTGTGTTACCGCCAGACTTAGACTAACTATATCTAACTTCGCAAAACAAAAGTGTAGTTTACAGCGATTGGTACACGATCACACGCGAAATATGGCTTTGAATGGTGGACACGGAACGTCGATCGTTATCGTCCTGGCGAATTCGGCGACTCTGGCGTTGCGAGCCGCGTGACAGCGGCTTAAGGCGTTAAAATAGAGTCCGGAGAGGATCGGTGTGGCCGACACGTCGGTGCCAGAACACGGCTACGCATTTAGTCTTTAACTGGAAGCATCCGCGTGCGGAGCAACTCGCGGCTCAGAGTGGCCACTGGCGAGTATTCCGTGAAAGATCCTTTCGTCGAGAACGAATCGACTCCGTAGCCGGTGACGGAACGACGATGTGAAACGACGACGGTGTGCTTTCGAGCCTAAGAGGATGCAACAAGTGCGTCGCGCCAGCGAGGAGAGAGAACGGGACGTCGCGTAAAGGCTACCTGTCTGCGAATCGCGACCCCCTGACCTCTGCTAATTATCCTCGGGCGATCAGCCGCCACTCCGATTCGTTTCACGCCTGTGTCGATCGTTAAAGGCGATCGTTAGAGTCTGTGAGTGAAAGTACGGCTAGCCATTCTATTCTGTAAATCTTCGACAACCTGGTCGTTTGGTTATTTCGATCGATTCGTTAATCAGTCGATGACGACGACTACCGAAGCCGAGAAGAGACGAGCGTCTCCGTCTGATCTTTAAGTCGTTTCGTCGAGTCTGTAAGTTTTCTCTAACGATAAGTCAGATCTTCCTTCTCCTCTGTCAGATCAGACGTTCTTGTTCTCGTAGTTTACTTCTGTCCAGATCTGTCAGATGACTTTTCTAGAAAGCGCAAGGTACGTTAATTCTCAAGGTATCACCGGTGGTTAAATTTATTTCCAGTTCGATGCGTCGGGTCGGACCGACGAGAATCGAAAAGCGCTTGACGAGAATAGAAAAGAGTTGGCGAACGGCGGAGAATCCAGGCGGGGGTCAGACACCCGCGTCGTGGAATGGAAGTCAAAGGAAACGGGCCACGAACGGACGAACACGGGGAAGATCCGTTTCTCTGGACGATCTCTAGAACGGGTGCACCTCGAGTGTTGGTCACCAGTCTCGCGGCTATCGCACGATACTGCGCCGACCGATTGCCAAAGAAAATGAGCCTGGACTCCCTTCGGATGCTCGCCGCGTTCCTGATCTTCGTGATGCCACGTTCCCTCACTTACGTTCTACTCTATCCGATTTTCAGATTAGTGTTCGGCAATTTGTACCCGGCCTACGCGTCGTACAAGGCGGTGAGGACGAAGAACGTGAAGGAATACGTGAGTATCTAACGCCAGTGCAACGATAATTTCGCAACACGAAACTCAAACAAGAATGAAAGGTTGAATAAAGAATTGGTTTTTGAAAAGACTTTGTCAGCCGACATTTGTATTTAATAAAAAGGGAAAATTAAATTGACGAAGGAATAAATGAAACTTTATGAAAATTCCCTTGATTAAACAAAAAATTTTTTGCTAATTTAAATAAAAACTCTCAGTTAAATTAAGAATCTGGATATTTTTGTATACCAAATTGAACGAGAATTAAATGTTCTCGTATATCGAGCCGATGTAGTTGAACAAGATATTAAATTGGATGAGAAATTTAGATTACATTCTTTTGCATTTGAAAAGCACAGTTTCTTCTTTACATTTTATTTTGAATTGCGTTCAACAAACATTTATGCATAAACATCAACTGTTTTTACAAAACAAAATCGATCGAGCTTCTCGAGAGTTTCGAGACGTTAACCACTGATTGCGGACCATAACGAGTGACCAAACGAAAAAACGTATACAATAATTCGTCGCTTTCTTTTTCTTTTGAACTCGTCGGCACGATATCGCTGGATAGAAATTATTGAGAAATAACAAATTTATTATTTGTTTTGCCTGAGTTATACCTAAATATACTTGACACTGAAAAAATGTTGCAATTTTGGGAGAAAAAATTCTCGACGTGCGTGACACGTCATTCCAGAGCAAGAAGACATTCGGACTCGAGTTTCGATAATGGAAAAATTAGGTTTTCCCACGGGGACTCATGGGTCCCACGGAGAAAGCTTCCGAGAGGTAATTCTTGCCTCGCCTTCCATTAACAGCGATTATATTTGATCATCCTAATTAATGGGAATAGACCGGCAGCGTGCGGCAACAAGTACCAGGAACCAAGTTCCAGATAAAGTTGCCTCGATAACTGTTAAGGCGCAAACATTGTTTCTACGAAAACGTAAACTTCGCTCCGTAAATGTTTATCCGCGAATGATGGGGTTCGCCCTCTCCGGGGGGGGGGGGGCATTTCTTCGTTAAAAATCCATCGCTCTTATCTTCGACGAACTTTGCCTTCGCCCCTGTTGCTTTTGCGTATCCGACGCGTTCCCTCGGAAGGATTCCCATGTAAATTCGAAACTTACGTTCCCATCCCACCCTTTGACTGTCCTTTTGTTTCCGTGTAACCTCGAATGATAATATTAGGCTGCTTGTAGAAACTCTGTCTGCCAGAATACGAGTTCCACATGTGTATCTATACTTAAACTTTATGCCTCTCTCGTGAAGAGGATCTTGGATCTGTCATTGAAGGAGACAGTGAATCGAGTGAAACTGTTTAATCTTTACATCCTTGTAAAATTTTTACAGTTCTCTTACATATTGAGGAAAACCAATTGAGTAAAGTCATCCAGTTTTTAAGTTCTTCTGGAATCTAAATGACACATTCTTCGCGTTTAATCTCGTCTGAGTAAACTGGCATTACAAAATTCTTCGTGAATATCCATCTCTCTTACATTTGTTATAATTGGACCGCGAACGTTTATTCTATGGGAATAAAACGCAAATAAAAATTTATTTCATCCTTACTAGTGGAACAGATACTTCGCTTCTCACGTAGTATATTCGCATAAATGTTCTTGCGTGTTACACAAATTCGAGACTCTTAACCTATTGCATCGGAATGACGTGCCACATCGAGAATTTTTTGTCCCAAATTGCAATATTTTCTCAGTTCTATGTATATTTAAATGTAAGGCGAAACAGATGATAAGTTTATTACTTTTTAATCATTTCTATCCAGTGATATCGTACCAACGAGTTCAAAGAAAAAGCGACCAATTATTGTATACGGTTCGGTCACTCGTTATGGTCCGCGAACCAGTTGCCAGCGCAAGGGGTTGAATTTAAAAGTTTACTTCTGACTCGCGCGAAGAAAAACGGACAAGAACCAGGACGTAGTAAAAGTTCCTCCAAGACGCTCGCTCGCCTCCCGAGTGTTCGCGAAAGGTTACGCCATCGCAAAATCAGAGATCCATCGTGTAACAATCCTTTCGTTTTCAGGTGAAATGGATGATGTACTGGATCGTGTTCGCGCTGTTCACGTGCGCGGAGACCTTCACCGACGTGTTCTTCAGCTTCTGGTGAGCAACGCGTCGCAGGATCGCTACGTAGCGTAGCTAAGTACCGGGAAAGGTCAAATAGAATAGAATAGAAGAGAAGAGGTCGTCGTCGCGATCATCATCTTGCCCTTTCACCTCAACTTGTTAATCCGAAGTGCACGCTCGCGACGAGAGTGGCTGAAACACGGAGCGGCGTTCCCGAGATGAGCGTAGCGTGTGTTTGGTCTTGGTTCTTGGTCGGTCATGGCCCCGTTCTCGCCGGAAGCGAGCAAAATTCGGGCGAAACCGGGGCCAATAAACCGAGGTGAACCGCGTGGTCCGAGGCTCGCCACCGGGAATTCCGAAAGTCTAATTTCGGCCGAGATGGATATTGGCTTACACATGCACTTCTGAGGATTCTAACCGGGGTCCAACCGTCTTCCCGTCTCTGTTTCTGGTGTTTTCCTCCCCCTCCTCTGGCTGCGCCAGATCCACTCGCTCTTCTTCCTTTCATACTCGGATTACAACCAAAAAGGAGAGCTCCCGGTGTATTTCTGGCCCGGGAATACACTCTTGCGCTTTCCACTCTCTTTCGTTCACCGTCGTTCGCCATTCTCCCCTGACCAACGACTTTTCCCCGTCCTTTTTCCTTTCTTTGCCCTCGTTCTTCGATGATGCGGCTTCGTGGTTCGCGGCTGTGTCACGCCTAACGACAATTTAGGAGTTTTTTTTCTGAATTTGGGAGTATTATTCCTACGAAATGTGCAGTTGCAAAAGGGTCAATTTTTACTGGGAATTTACATTTTGGACGAGGGAAACTTTTTTTTTTTAGATATTACAGTCGCAGCTCTGATTTTTAAGTCATGAGTCAATAGTACAAAAAAATAATATCAAGAACAGAGAATCATTTCTTTCGTTTAAATATATGCAGACCCTTTTGTAAGGAGTATGAAGTTCTAAGTAACTCTACTACAAAGTTCTAAGTAACTCTTGAAATTCTCATAAAGTTGCAAAATTTCAGATGGAAGAAGCAACGACGAGTAACTTTCATAGCTACAGTGTTCAAAAGCAAAATTCGATAGCTCAAAATGATCAAATCAGATTAACCCCTTGCCACACGACTTTCTTTCCAAACTTTCTAGCATGTGTAACTTGATTGCTATAATTGTCACATCATATTAAATAAGCCATGAAACATGAATCAAGCACATGAAACATTTCAGCGAAAGTGATTTGTACTTTTTAATTTTCAAATTAGAGAATTTAGACGTAAAGTTTAAAATTTATACCACGAGATGTCGATATTTTAAAGGCAAGTGGTTAATATCAAGATCATGAGAGCAATTTACTCTGACAATTTTTCGAAAAAATCTTTTCCATCTCGTCGAGGTGTTCCACAATTGCGCCTGTCTATTGCCCGATCGTTTCGTGCGCGTGACATTTGTCTTTTAATCCCTCCCGCATAGGTTTCCGTTTTACTATGAGATCAAGACTATCCTGGTGATCTGGTTGCTGAGCCCGGCAACCAAGGGCTCGAGCATTCTCTACAGACGTTTCGTCCATCCAGCTTTAATCCGGCGTGAGGCTGAGATCGACGAGGCTTTAGCACGTGCCACAGAGCAGGGTTATTCCGCAGTGTTGCACCTTGGATCGAAAGGTGTGAATTATGCAACCACGGTTCTCATGCAAACCGCGATCAAGGTAAGTTTCGGACTTACGAGTACAACACTCTCTTACGAATACCGTAACGATGAATCCGGCCGTCTTGTCCGATAGAAATTCCAATCACTCCATTGGATGTATTTGTGAGAAGTGCAAATATAGCAACGACATATAAAATATAAACGTAGTGGCAACATAATAATGTAAAAACTTCCCTATTGGGTTAAAAGTTTTGGATACATGTTCCGCGTGTAAGATCTTCAATGTAGTGATTTTCTTGATTAGAATATTTTACATTTACGTTGTACAATGCGATCAAAAACTACTAAAATAGGGAAAAATTTATGACACAATAACAAATACAAGTTTCACTTGTATATTTTACGAAAACAAACAAAATTCTCCTTTTAGAAATCAAACATCCATAGTTGAGTTACAGTCAATGATAATATATCGCTAATCTTGCAAAAATTTCATCGACAAGACGATCGGTTAACTTCACTTAAAGAACATTAACTCGCTGACAGCCACCGCTTCTCAACTCGCTAATCGTACGATTTTCTTTCTTTTTTTTTTTTTTTTATATTTTATGTTTACGTTGTCCTGCACGCCTATCCTGCACGCCGCCTCTAATCAAACAAAACACCAACGTCGATCATCATCATCATCACACATCGTCTAACCACTGCCAAATCATCGTCGTTCCTTTAACAACTTTGTCGTCGTTGTGTACTACCAACAAAAATAAAAATAAATAAAAAACAACCATCACGTTATATGTTACACGCGTGCCTATTGTGTTCGACCTGTAACATCAAACATTTCACGATGCTCGTCGATATATGTGTAAAATAAACTAAAAAAAAAAAAAACACATCGGAACGCGCGTCTGGTCAGCATATCCTGAAGTCAGACAGAATCATGATGGCTGAGCTACCAGCGATCCAATCGGCCTCGGCGGTTTCTAGCTTGGCCAGGCCACCAACAACATCGACAACGAAGGAAAACGTGGACCAGATGGACGACGGTGTTCAGAAACCGACGAGCAGCCCACCAAAAACTAGATCATCCATCGACTTGATCCCCGTCGAATCGATACCCAGCTTCGACAACGATCTGAACGACGTGACGGACGACGAGCTGGTCGAAATAAATCGCGTGGAGCAGGAAGCGTTCAAGATACCGCCGCCGAAGAGAACGTACAAGTCGCGGAGAACGACGAAGAAGAAAGAGGCGGGCAGCACGAGGCAGCTCAGGTCACGCACTCGCGACGCTGAGTCGATGTTCAGCGACGACGAGTTGGAAGATCTGCACGCATCCACCTTGATGGAGTACTGAATGAGAGACGAACGACGCATGGCGCGGCGCGAGAATCGTCGATTCAACGTGAGGATCGTGCTTTCGCGAGGAAGCGCAAGTTACCGAATTAGGATTAACCTGTTAGAGTTGCACACGTTACATTTATTATTTAGAAAACGGGAAGGGTTTCAGTTTCTGGAGAAATTCTGAATACCGGCGTTTGTTGAAAATCGTAGAGTGATTTTTCTGAGTTTTTTTTTTTTTTTTTTTTTTTTTTTTT